AGAAAGGTAGCATTTTTTTATTTTATACCATGTACTCAGACATTTAATATTTATAAATTGTATTAACTGCATTTAGTCATATTATGTTAGCAAATTTTTACATAAAAATGTCCTGTCTGTTCTTCCATACTCAGGCCCCAAGATTAACAGGAGCCCTTAATGTTCCTGGAAAAATGCTGATGAAGGGGAGGAAGGAACATCCATACACTCTCAGGCACACAGGGAAAGTAAATTTAAAAATTATAAAAGAAAAAAACAAGAAAAAAGAAAAAAGAGAAGAAAGTAGAACAACCCAGCTCTAGATGGCAGCAAATCAATATTCACCCCTATGTACACACACTGAGAGCATCAACTATTTTCAAAAAAACTGTATATTTTTCAGTACTTTTTCTAGGCGTGTTATTATTTTCACTTTGTTTCAAATGTTAGATCAAAGTTGACTGTGCAGAGTTGTTAGGAATCAAGGACAGTTCACTACCAACAATTAGGAAGACATTCCTCTCATTTCAAGAGCTAATTCAGCCAGCAGAATTAATATTCTTATTTTTTAAGCTTAATTTGATTTTTTGCTGTAGAGACTGGATAATCCAATAGAATGATACAAAAGCACTGGAGACTATGATTTTAAGATTTTTAAATTTAAAAAAAAAAAAAAATTGAGCCCTTGCATAATAACTGTTCATTTCCTCCAGTTAATTATGACTTGCAATTATAATGTTATTTTTGTAAAAATTTAAAATATGCATCACCCTAATATGCAGTATCATGAATAAAACTGTTACCTTTATAACAATAAATTCTGCAGCTCATCTATCTTTCTCTTTTGTGGCACTGGCACTGCAGGAACGTAACTGAGCAAGACGGGGACGATGGTGATAGTTCATGTAACAAGGGCAACAGTGAAAGCCAGGTTTTATGTAGGCAGGTAAACATCGCTAGAGATCAACCGAAGCAGAACAAAACTGAGCATGCAAAATGATACCTACAGTGTAAATAGTTGGGCAGCGGCTGCACCGGCTCCCGCTGCCACGGGAGCAGGAGCCCACAGGAGCACACGCAGCGGTGCGTGGTCCTCAGCGGCAACGTCACTGTCACGCTGCACAACTTGTGTTTATTTATAAAAGTGCTCGGAGTCAGCAGGCTGCCATGGCCAGTCAGTGATAAGATACGCTATTCATATGCTCATCTGTTTTGTTTTCTGGCACCTTCCAATATTCCATTTTTTTTATTTGAGAACATACTTAGGCTGTCTATGTTTAAAGGTTCTCCCACATTCTTCCGTAACTCTGCTGATCCAATCTTTAATCTGCTTTACAAAATACAGATGTCCATTAGAGCATTCAAAGGTAACCTTAACTTTCTAAATCTCACCAACAGAGCACATGTGCAACCTAGAAACAGTAAAAGGCAACAACAGTGAGGAATCATCACCAGGAAAAAAAACAGTGACCAAAGTATCAAGCTCACAGGATAAGCTCCTATATCCAAATACATGCTTTATGCAGGCACCTCACATTTGCCTGATTTTTTAGAGCTCATGCTCTCACATTAGAAAACTTATTTTATTTTACTTCTCTTATTTTACTTCCTGAGAGCAGCTGGCCCAGGCCTCTCAAGCTGATCATTTGTCCTGTGCTCAGTTTAATGACCCATATTTCAGGTGAGCCTGGTAATAACCAATCGAGCTCAGCATTATCTAGTTTACATGGCTGAATAATAAAGGAAAGCAATGGAGAGTTATAGGTTAAACAGGCTTAAGTATTACTGTCTTCCCTCTTCATGAGTCTTTAACAATTACATATTACTTATTTACAAAGCATAGGTTTATGCAGTTACTTGTTTTCTGGTATTTTTCACTATTGTTGTTGACTAGCTTAGAATTATGCACCACTGCAAGTATTACACAAGCTTTTCTATGTTTGAAACAGAAACAGGTAAGCAAAAAGCAGTTACTCAACTAGGAATCTTGGTAGGAATGAAGGCAAAGTTATCAACATTAGGAATCATCCTCACTTTGTGCCAAAAATTATTAACCTGCACAACTAAAATTATTTAGAGACTAAAAACCAAAAATTCTCAAAGATGGTCATTAAACATTTGCTTGTTCACATCAGAATCAGCATATGAGAACACGATGAATTAGACCAAGAATTTCAGAGAGGTCATAATACCCCAGAAGTACCACAGTTAGTCACAATAATTCAGGAATTATCACTATAAGAAAATAATCATCTGGTGCAGGGTGGCAATTCTCATGATATATTTTGAGATGCCTTCCAAGTAACAGTCATGTAAAATTGATGTTTCAAGTAATCTCCTGACCAGTCTCAGCCTTCCACAGTAGCTGCTCAAGATGAAACAAATTGAGACTGAAAATACCCTTAAACATCTATAAGCAGCAGGTCTGATATGACCTCTTAAATGGCGTGAGGAGGTAAAAAGTATTTTTGCAATAGCTGAAATTAAGAACCTTTCCTAACAGTTTCTGCATGTAAGAACTACCACTGAATTCTCTGTTCTCATAAGGTTCCCAAACATGAGACACTTCTTCCTAGAGTCTTCTCCCAGCATGCCAAGTCAGAAATAGTATTTTAACATTTTTAAATATTAAAAGCCCTAGAGTCATTCCTATAAACACAAAAATATTATATTTCTTTTGCAGCAATTTGATAATTTGCAAGGAAGGCAGAAACGAGCCAAACAGATCTGTCACATTTTTTAAAGTAAACAGAAGTATCCTCACGTTCATTAGCAATTTTTCGAATCCTTTTCTGCTACACCAGAAACTGCTTTCAAGCAGACCTTATGGAAAGTCTAGAGGACATCCCAGACAGCAATGGATCGGAAAGTCAAGGCAATCGACACTTGTCTCCTGATTTATGGGGAGACTGGCTACAGCAGAGGAAAAGAGATGCTGAAACAGGCTAAACCACTACTGCCCTGAGAGGGATGCATGCAGAATGAAAAACAAAATGTAAAATAAGATTCTAAACCAAATTGTTACATTTAACAATTCCACCTTTGTGATTTGGGGGTTTTTTTATACCAAGAAAGTTGTTACTTCATCGGGGAAATTTAAATTAAACTGTACACTAGATTATTTCTTTATCTGAAGAATGGTCCTGCATGCAAGCTGTTTTCTACTACAGAACTCTTTTATGTTATTAAAATGAACATGTTTGATATTTTAGTAACATAAATGTATCAGTTTGGAAATGTCCGTGGCTCAAGTTTCCTATCTACCTCAAGGCTGTTTTCACCATATTGGGTAGGTTTTACAGACAAGTTGCAGTTTTGGAAAAAAATGAGGTCAAGTAGTTAATAATCCTGCCCTCTAATTTTCAACTGTCTTCCAAAACTGTCTAAGCTTTGAGAAGTATTCATAGACTTCCCTTCTTTCTGGGGAGTGCAGAAAACAGCTGAAGGTGAACACAAACCAAACAAGCTTAAATTTCTGTGTAAAGAGAAGTTTTCCAGCAAAGACAGTTGGACCCTGCCTCACTCAGTTTTTTGCCTCTTACACAGCCACATCTACCACACCAAGCACCTTGGACAGGAGGGGGTGGCCCTCTCAGACCTTCTACATCTGAGCTACCTCCTCCATGCCTCTGCGAGCAACAACTGCATATCAAGTCTGTTACAGCTGGCAATTATTTCTTCTAAATCTTTGATCCCATTTACATTTTTTAGTTCTGTCAGAGAAAGTAGGAGTTAGAGATTGTGCTGCTGTTCAGAAACAAAGCTGCAGAAAGAGCATCACAGCAGAGAAGGCTGAGAATGCTTTCATTTCTCTCCTTCCCCCTCTTCTTCCCAATGGCTTGTTCTCCCCGGCAAAGGGAATCAACTCATTCCTCACCCTCTCAGAGCTACTACATTCACTCTCCATATTCTTTTGCTCCTTTTTAAAAGTTCTATTCCATAAAAGCTGCAGTTCCAAAATTTTCTCTTCTTCAAATGGAACTGATTTCTGCCCCACAAAGCCTCCTCAGGGTGTCAGTTAAGCGGTCCCCCTTCCCCATAAGTCACTCCTTCTCCTCCCTGGTTCAGATCCTCCAGCATCTCTCCCTCTGTACCAACATGAAGCAAAGAAGCATCTGCTACTTGAGAAGCAGCAATAAAGGTTAGAAAAGTTGCCTGCTTCCTCTCGCCCAGGAAGATACTTGGAAAGAACCAATACTTGCGTATCAGTTATCTGGAACGGGCTTTGAAACCCTAGAACATTCCTGGATGAACAGATTGCTGGCAATCACTGGGGGGAAAAAAACCCAACCAAACACAAAACAAACAAACAAACAAACAAGCCCTACACATTGCTACGCATTCATTAGTTAATGAGTTTATACGTATTTTTGATATAACTATGCATACGTGTACACAGACACACATGGTACACATGTTAACACGAGCACGGCCGAGTTTAAATACTCCCAGCTTCCTACACGCAATAATCACCTTTCTGAGGTTTGCCTACCATCGGTCCTGACACCTTTTACACACCACCTGCTGTGTGCGACGAACATCCTCCAAGCAGAGTTTTCTAAGGAGCTCAGCACTGACCTTGTTGCATTTCCAGTGAAATCAACAGCAAAAGTTAATTTCATTTTTGATAGAAAAATGAGCATCTTTGAAGTTATGCCCTTGATATAGATTTATTTAGGCAGCAAAATGTCACCTTCTACATCCAAGTGCTAAGAGAGTTTGGATTAGTGAGGAAGAATTTTTTTTGCAATTCTCCAGGTTTTACATTATTACAAAATTTAGAGCAAGCTTGTTTGAAGGTTAATGTTCATACTTCCTCTAAAAATATCGATTCATATTTTGTTATTTAGGGAATGCAAAAGCTGCTTGATGAGAACTCAGTCTTAGACAAGATGGTGGACTCAGCAATACATACAAGAAAATAATGGAAACAAAGCTTTAAAAAAATCCGTACTTACATAGGCCTAGTATCATATACTACTGTAAGAAATTCAACAGAACAGAACAGCTTTTCTCCTTACCTCTGGAGTGTTTTTCTTGAACTCGCGACTTTGCTCAATAAGTTTTTTCCTAGACTGCTCACTTTCATCTTGCCGGTTAGCCAATATTGTTGCTGTGGCATCGAGCTCTCTCTGTCAAGAAAAACAAAACAACAAGAAAAAAAAAAAGGAACTATAGTCAGAGGTCTGTTTCTCACAGGAGTAACTTTTAAAAAAGCTCATACATACATCATGTCATTTGGAATATCAAGACAGCTGGACAACAGAGCAGTACAGAACAAAGCACCAAGCTTCCAGAAGTCTGACCTCCTGAATAACATCAAATGAGGTTCTACAACCTTTCTGATACCTTCTTGCAATAAAAATCACCATTTTTCTTAAAAGCGTTCATGGCTTTTCCACAACATTACACAGCACAGCAGCATGCAATACACACCTCCTCATAATTTCCCAAATCCACTGAAGATTACAGATCTTGGACGTGTACAAGACAGGTTTATTTTCACCTACCTGCCTTTTAGAGATACTGGATTTACCCTTTTTGAGTTATTCTATGAAAAAAAAAATTATGACTAACGCAAATACTGGTTAACCTTATACTTCAGCCTAGACTGGTTATGCTTCAGCCACCCTTTATTTCAAATGACATAGTGTATGTAATACTGCCACTGCAGTGCTCTTTTTCCATTTAAGTCTTTCCTTACTTGAATACAAAATATAATTTCCTACTATTAGAATCCATTTCTCTAAAATTACTAGACGGTACCTCCCTTTCCTCCCCAAAACATATCTTTTTTTAATCACCTGATGAACGCCACATTATCTTCCAACAGCTTCTACTGGCTGAAGTACAAGCTCAGCCTACAGACTGTTGCCAAGCTACATCCAAGTGCCTTATCCCCATCCCAGTTTCTTTACTCAGTGCTGTGCTTCCAAATGTCACCACAATAGACTGAATGGGTGACTTATCAGCACATAAGCCAACAGCACTCAATGTTCTGCCTCAATTTATTCCTTTTGTGTGGTATTTCCATGAAACATGAGGATAAAAAGGCTAAACCCTCCACTCAGCTGCGTACATCACTCCCCGAGTCACCTGTAGTTATAATATAACCAAGAATTTGGCACTGTTTTTCCCCCTTACTAATTTGAAAGGAGAAAAACCTGGCTATGAGAAAGAAGTTAATGAAAAGTGAGAGCATGCTAGAGCAAGACATAAAGCAGGTCTCCTTTGCAGCTGTCTTTATTACATCACTCTGCTAACATGCCTCCAATCTGCACACAAAACCCCCAATAGTTGATAGAAATCCTGCCACACCACTGGCATTTGTTTGTAACTCAACCACCTGTAATGGACCAGACCCAAAAAAACAAGCCTGGGACCTCCTGTCGGGTCTAATTCCAGATCCCCAGTAGTCAGTCAAGTCATGTACCAGGTCATCGCTTGATACCACCATACACAAAAACCACAGTGAAAATAAAGCCGATTTGGTTACTACTAGATGGTTAGCATAGAAACTTTACTGTGCATATATACTTCCCAGTGGAACTGGGCACCCAGTATGGGGAAATAAATGGGAAAACAAAAGATTTGTCTCTTCCTATTTTTGCAGACGTGTTAGAAATAGCAACAGACAGCAGGTACCTACAGGACACCTGTTAAAACCTCTGTTCTACAGGCTTAAAAAAGAACATACAGGACTAGCAGACAGGTAATTTAGCTACTGAATTTTTTTCCTAGATACTCTGTGAAAAAGCCTAATTACAAGTTCTTAGTTACATGTTTGTACGGGTAAATCCTGTAACTCTGAAAGACTGGATGGATGCACGTGTCTTATGTGACTCCACACTCTGACCTCTGGAGGAAAAAATACAGCCTTCTGCAGTTTCCAACTCAAAAGGATCAATACTTTTTCCCCCTTTAGGTTTATTACCACAAAACTAAGATAGCATTTTTTTTCCTAAGAAATATATGGACCATAGTTATCTTAATTCTTGGAAATAAGCTAAATATGACAAATGGCTTTGAAGCTAGGCAGCATGCTGGAGCCAGTGACCTAAATATTGTCACTGTAATGCTTAAAAACCCCTCTATTTCTGACTTTGAGGAAAAAAAACAGGGCAATATGTCCACCAGAACTTGGTTTGGAATTCTGTAACATATGTGAAATCTATTGCAGAAAAGTGGGAAATACTTAACAGTTGGATAAACCACATTTGAAATTCATCCCAGCTAAGTTTATGCAAGAAAAAAGAGCAACAGAAACCAATGTGGTTAAGCAGTACTATAAAGAGCAATATAACGGCTAAGCAGAAGGCTTTTAAAAAATATAAACAATCTGGTACGGCCAGCAACTTGGAAAACTATATTTAAAAAGGAAGCACACATTTAAAGCAAAGCAAAGCAAACACAAATCATGAAGTAAGAGGGAATTTTAGTAAACCGAAGAATCAAATGCTTTGTTTTACAATAAAGAGTGCTAGCAAGCAACTTTACATATGGAAAAGTAGACTTCTAAAGACCTATACTTCTAAGTTTAGACATAAGAAAGAAAAAGAACTGATTAAAAATGAATTATATTTCCTATTTTGTGCTATTATGAAGAGTCAGGTGACAAAAGAAGAATAACCTTCTCACCCTCACTGCTTGATTGATACCAGTGCCACAATGCACTTACTACGGACTCCTTGCCATTACTTTCAGAATTCCTTCTGGGGCGGGTCTGCTACTTTCCCACTGCAAAACACTTCCTTATGTGACATCTCAGGTACAGACACTGCCAAGCAGAAATGCCAGCATGCAACTATACTGAACCTTTCAATACTGTGGGCTGAAGACCACAAGCTCAAGATCTTGCCTGGCATTTACAAACAACAGATAGAGTGAGATGCAGTTCCAGCTGAAGAAGAGTAGATATCCAGCCCCGTATACCAGACCTGATATAGAACTAGATACTAAATCTTCAAGCTATGTCATAGCTGATAAGGCCCAAATCAAAACTATTTGGAAAATTGCTATTTTTTTCTTCCTTACTTGATCTCAGCCATCTACAATGCAAGTTTCATTTATCTAAATATAATAAGATATAGGATTACAATGCACAAGCATTAACAGCAGATTTTTTATACTTTAGTGACTTAACCTCATAAGATACTCCACTTTTTGTAAAAATTCAATGTAGCCAACACATTATTTCTGCAAGCAAGCATGTATTAAGGAGTAAGTAGCATTAACTTTGAGATTTCAAACCTGAGTATTATCTAATACTCAAAGGTATACATGCTTCACAAGCCTTGTAACCACGCTCTAAATAGATACTAAGTAAAAGGAGATGCAATACTGTACAGAAAGCAGCATACCGGAGAGTCCCTTAGAGTGTAACAAAAATAGGAGACCATGTCTCAGTATCATTCTCCACACCTTTGAAATCAAAAAGGTTCCAATAAAAAGTGAAGAGAAATCAGGGCTCAGAGGTGCTGCAGTGGTGACCTGAGTACAGAAAGGACTCAAAACCTTTAGTTCCACTGATTCAACACTGGCTAATAAACTTTCTGGTCAAAAATAGTCACCATTCAATTGCCCCTGCAAAAAGTAAGTCACTACTTGGAGCATGTTTTGAGAGAGAACAAGACAGACCATTATCCCTCCCTTGCCCCGAAGTCCCATCGATCCAAGGCAGACACAGTTCACACTGCTTAAGCCATAGATAACTAAAGAACTCTCTCCAGGGTTTCTGCTTTGACCCATTTAAACAAATTTATTGGGGGTGGGAGGGAGGCAGTGGGAAGAGGGGAGACAAGAAAGTCCTATGCTCTTAAATGCAGGAGTCATTAAAGGCAATACTTAGAAAACAAACATTAAAACGTTTCTTTCATGAAGCATAAAAATATATATATGTATATAAATATAAATATATATATATATATATATATATATAAAACTAGGAGGGTCAATTCACTGCTAACAACAACCAACTCGAAGTGAATTTGTCTTCCTTTAATGCAAGTATTTCCAACCTCTTTTAGGCTCTCCAGGGGCCATCCCTGTACATTCTGCCCTGTCACCCTCTGTGCCACAGACCGTGATGGCATGGCTGTGCAGGGAGCCACAACAGGAACGCAAGCCTGCTAAAAACATATCCCACCTTTCCCCTCCTAACTTCTGTTGCACTGAATCAGTTCCCTGTTCAGGCCACCCCCTCAGCTGCACGGCGCTGTACAAAGGGAGCTGGGAAAACACAGCTGGAGCAAGGGGGGCTGGTGGAATCCCCCCTTTTGGCACCAACTTGCAATTAGGTTGACCCCACGTAATTACAAAACTCCAGCCTCATTGCAGACGGGTTTCAAAGTTGTTTTCTTTTATGGCTGACATGTCTTTCCCTACAAGATGCATACCTCGATAATCACCAAGCCAGCAGGTCTGCACAGCTCTGACAACTGACCGGTTTAGCACACCAAAGTCCTTCCCTTCTTCTAAGAGGAAGCTTCAAACCAGCCCTTCTGCCGCCCCAGCCCTGCCAGCAGCTGGCTGGAATTTCTCAAAGTTGAGTCCCACAGGCTCCCCAAAAACTACTCACTGGGGAAAACGATTCTAGAAAGAAACCGGGCTTTCTTGGATGTTTAGGAAGTGTTCCCCCATTCAAAAGGAAGAAGAAAATTAAACTGTAAGCAGAGAGCACCCCATGGTGCCAAGTCTTCTCACTCCTGCTCTGCTCTCCTTATGTGAGTGGAACTGGACTAAAAAAAAGAGTTTGTGTGAAAAGTAAAGCCAGGGACAAGAAGAGCACCCTCTGCTTTATGGACACTGTGGAAGGAAATGGGATAACCAGAAAGGATACACAGGAAATGTGAATTTGAGAGCATGATGGTGGGAAGGGTTTTTAACACTGCGACACAGCTCTATCACCAGGAGGGAAGAGAGGCAACAGCAAAATTAGATTCATCACCTCCAGTCTGAAAAGATGCGACAGAGGCAGAGACTGTGCAGGTTCCCATCCCCTCCTGGCAGCAAGAGACAGGCCCTGAGAGAAGCTGCCTGAACATGAGGGTCTTGAGGATGGGACACTCGCTCTCTTTCTCCATAGCTATGCTTCCTCTTCATTCAAAGTAGTGTGAAGGGAATAAATAAT